TTGTCTCTCTCTTCGGATTTTACGCGAGATTTTGGAAAATAAATATAATTTCCGGAAATATAGTAAAGACATGACGAGTGAGGCGTTCACTGAATTGGCACAGACTATGGACAGGGAGGGGTCGGCACTGCCCGCTAGAAAATGATACAAAATAAAATGATTAAAAATAATTCCTGTTATTGCTTGTTCCAATACTTTTGAAACTGAATGTATCATTTAATATATAAAGAGAAATGTAACTAATTTACAGTTTATTAACAATTTTGATATATAAAGTAGTATTAATTTGGATTAAATAAGAATATTATTAATAAGTTTATAAATATCTAAAAATTATCCATGCAAATAAAACAAAACAATACTCACACTCGACAATGAGCCAGGTGACCCAGACGGCAATGGTGCACAGGGCACAGGCCATAATAAACCTGGGCTCCCGGTTCTGGTCGTAACACTTGAAGGTAAGGGCGGCGAAGAATAAGGTAATGAGTAGTAATTGAATGACATATAAAAGTGAGACAATTATCTCTGAGTCCCACAAAACAAACGACTTGTTTGGCGAACACTTCCAGAGGCCGTCGTATAGGCCCGGGTGTGGGGCGTAACTGAACAGCCATATTGTGGTGAGTATGAGCTGCAGGAATACCAGTCCCCCCGATATAAACACCAGTGCCGTGGGGGAGGACAGCCGTAGGGGTTGTGATTGGTTTTTGATGACCATTAGTCGCCACGTGTTTAACACTTTCACTAATAGGCCGCTAATTATTATGGCGTACGATAGGGACAGACCTACGTGTGTGGGACAGGCAAATAATTAGTATTAAATAAATTTTAAGTAAATATAAATAAGTAGTAGACTTAAGCTTTCCATAAGACATACCTAACCGCCGGAGAGCGCATACGGATGTGGACACAGGTATGAGAAACACAAAGTTTGTCGTATAAGCCATGAATAGGCCGAACAGTATCTGATAGCCCAATACAGTCGTACCCACGGCTACCGGGAATACCAGCAAAAAATATATGA